ACTTCATACATAATATACAAAGCATATTTTTGAAGCAAAAGAAAAAGTGTAAAATATACATCGTAGAAGTTTTAATAAAAATGAAAGAATCATTCAGAATAATTGTGAACTAATTTCTGAAGAAAAAGTGATACATTTAAACATTATCAAATCGACACATAATCAATTGGAGACAGCATATGTAAAAAACATACTACATGCATATAATCTAAATAATTAAAATAACATTTCCAGGATCAGGTGTATGATTCATTACAGAATGGACATTCCAGAGAAATTGATAAAGCACATCACATGTACAAAACAATGAGAGTCATTAACATTTGTACAGAATTAGACATAACACAATATGACAAACACTTACAAGAACAATTACGGTGCCCTAAGCATACTTTCTTGCAGTCATCTTTACATTAGTTTGCTGTATAACATACATTACATAATAGTTTATTGTCAACTTTGAATTTAAGATATATAATTTTATGAATTTAGGTTCATGAAATGAAGCATGGTATAGAGAAATATATATTTAAGAGTAATTTTAGTAGTTTTAGTTAATACAAACTACTATTCTTGATACAGTCATCCTTCAATTTGTTAATAAAATTTCTAGAATATTTTCTTGGATAAAGAATATATTAATACTGTTATGAAAATGCAATTCTTGTCACTCCTAACTATTAGGTTATTGAATTTCTTAATCTTTTATAGAAAGATTTGAAGTTCTAATCAAAAGCCTTTCTTAAGCATAACACCACTTAGTGACAAGAGAAACAAGATAGATATAATTAGATATGTAACAATTATCTTTACCTTTTAGAGCATTTGATGTGTATTATTAATAGTATGAGACCTAGTAATAAACAAATACATCCTACAACTATGTAAGCAATACCAAGAAATGGATTTTTTCCACCAAGAAGGGATGTGGTACTTAAAATCATTCTTTTCTTGCCATCAAAAGCTGATACCGGATATGCTACAAAAAGAAGATACGTATTGTCAAATTATTTTTCTATAACTAATTCAATATACTTACTTAATATAACTTCTACTTACAATAATTAATAGTAAGTTTATAATCCCCTCCTAATAACCCATTTTTGAATCCATCTACCGCATGGTCCACCCTACGATAAAGTTTTCTAAAAGTGGGCAAAGCAGCAGTTCTCATCCAAACAATTAAATCTTCATTTTGAAAACCATTGTTACTATTATCATCTGGATCTAACTCGTAAATATTTTTAGTCCAATTCTTTGGTTTACTGTATTCCTTGAATGCTTCTTTCAAGTCACCTTCGGGGTTTCTAAATTTGATTGCTTTATCCGATGGCCAAGCTATACCAGTTTTCAATAATGGCACATTACTTCCATGTCTTACAGAATATAATGATAATTCATCGCTGAATAAAGAATTGGCAATTGCTCCACATGGTACAATCGCTTTATTAGTATTATCATAGGCAAATGGCTCACAGTCATTAGAGACCACGTTGCTTAATTTTCCTAATAGTTGATTATCGTCGCGCGACTTAACGTATCTTCTATGATTTTGATAAAAATTAGTCAAACCATAATACATATAAATCATTCCATTGAAATGGGATGGTAATGTGAACTTTATTTCACAAGTACACGGTGGTGTAGGGTTAGGCTTCTGTGCAATATATTCCGCACATGTATAAGGAGAATAGTTCGTAGAATTACAGTTTGTGTAGTCTATAATGTATTCCTTGACTTGATCAGAAAAATAAAGCAATCCAATACCCACTGGTATAAAAGCAATTCCTATCACAAAAAATGTTGGCAGCACAGTTCCTGCTGTAAGTATTGGCTGCCAAGCAGGTAGACGTTGTTGTTTGAATGCACTGTCTGGTTTAATGGAAACATTAGGTTATAATAAACTGCCTATTCTTTTATCACATAAGAATTAAAAAATATGATCTTCTTGATATAATTAAATTATCTCGAATTAAATAATAAATTTCGACCTAAATATAAACGTACATAAGTTAGTTTGTAAAAATGATTCTCAATTTATTTAATTCATTAAGGTTCCTTTTGAAATAATTAATATATTTCATTAAATATTATACTATATCAATTTCTCTCCATCAAAATAATTTAAGTACTTTAGCTATGAAATATTTATAACAGGAAGATCGTACAGATTTTTACGCATCAAACTTACCCGATGGTTTCTTCGTTTTAGGTATCGAATTTACTTCGGTGATGGAAGTCATCTTTCTTTATCAAAATGACAATTAACGTTATTATTTTCAACAAGCGAGTACTGCCATTTATAGAAAGATAATTGTTGTATCAATTAGTCATCAGACGTTTCTAACGTACATTGTATGGTACATACATTGCAATTGGCATAGGCCATAGACCATGGAACATGGAACTATCAATGAACAGAACAGCACGATTGAACATGCACGGACACACTGTGCATGCATACGTACGTATATGCATGCATAAAATTATATTACGCAAAAAATCTCTGTCAGAATTGTGTAATAAATAAATATTAAATAAAATAAAAAATGGAGGAGTAAAAAATCAAGTCAATATTTAATATAATTTAATTATAGTATTGTATTCTAACAAATGTTTGTTTTACATATATGTATTAAGGGACTAGACTCCCTAACGAGGAGACAAAGATAGAGAACACAGTTTCTTTAAATAAATTGTGATTATTATGCTACGTTCATTGATGATTAATTTATAGGAATTGAATTGTATTCTTTTATACTTCTACATTAATTCACAACATTAGTTGGCAGTCCTATTTAGGCACCACCTTATACGCATCAGTGTAACTAAACTTGCCAAATTTTTTGCTCGGTTTATCGATATCATGAATTTTGATGCCAAAACAGTATTATGGGTTTACAGAGTGACACCTAATTATTTCAAAGCAGTGTGGTAATTCGCTCTTGTTACCGAGGGTCGGTAATGTACAGTGCGACATGATTTACTGTTGCTTGATCACTTATTCAAAATTAATCGAAAAATTCTTCACAGGTCATAATTTGACGAATTTAATCACAAACAAAATATAATAACCATAGATGATACTTTGTCTGTGCTCAAACTACTAGCCAAATTACCGACCATCGATTTTGGTTTACAGTTTGTGCAATTTGCCATTAACCCAAGTGGCCGCTGTCCGTATATACGGAATGCAGGGCCACTGAAAAACACTGCATAATTGATAGGGCAAAAAATATTTAACCAAGGACATAGAATTGTTCAGGAGAGTTTTCTGTATCGATACCATGTCAGAAACGCAGATAACAATTCCACAACACATAATTAATTAATGTGGTAGATAATCAGATCTCAAAAGGCAATTGATTATTTTTTCTAGCTTTGCCATTTGTTTTTTTTTATATAATATTGAAGCAATAAGTTCTTCTGTACAATGCTATGCCCCTATTGCGAATAACCAAATATTATCTCAAAAAAAAGATGCACGAAAACGGGTTTAACGATAATACCCTTACGATTTTTCTTAATCTGGAAGTAGAGTGAACAAACCAGAGCGTGTCAATTATGTATAAATACACGACTTTCACCACGTCAAAAATCTCAGGGTTATTTTAAATACCATAAGAGATGAGGTCTATGTCAAAGTTAAATTAATAGACCACGAACGCAACTTATACCTTACAAGTACGTTCGCGCCCACTCATTAAACCCAACGATGCAACGCTTCAATTGGCCAGCTTATATAGAAAAGATACTTGTAAGTACCAGCGAGAAACTGCTCGATACGGTGATAGCCCTCTATGAAGAGATGTTTGAATTAAACATAGATAACCTAACCCATATGTAAGAAGATAGGTTAAACGAATAACTAAGACAGAAATGTTTTCAAAAAATATTTATAAAGTGGCTTTATATAAATGAACGCATACATGTTACATTTTTATGTAATAATTGTGTACTAACAGAATAATGATCAAAATAAACAGAGCCTGAAATAGTAACTATATAACGAATGAATACAGTAATAATAACAGTAATGTGTGTGCAGTAAAGGTTTCCATGGCTTTGATAAGAAGGGTTTATTTGGTGATAAATATGCCGAAATAAAACATTGTAATAAAAGAAAATATTCGTATAAATATCATGTTTCATAAATTGTTAAAACCTCAAAGAGATATCATACACTTATATAGAAAGTATAGTATATTGGTAGGAGTAACATATAAAAGCAATCTACGAAAATTCATTAAACAGAATATCCAGTGCTATTATAGCACTGATAATTCTCTAAAACAGGAGATTTGTAATATAGGCACAATAGGACATGTAGATCATGGTAAAACAACACTAACAGCTGCCATAACAAAATATTTATCGGAAATAAACAAAGATTGTAAATATGTACCATACGATGAGATTGACAAAGCACCCGAAGAAAAGAAACGTGGCATTACTATAAATATTGCTCATATTGGATATAAGACTAAGAAGAGACAGTATGCTCATACAGATTGTCCAGGTCATGCTGATTATATTAAAAATATGCTCAGCGGAGCATCCCAGATGGATGGTGCAATTATGGTAGTTGCTGCTGACGATGGTCCTATGCCACAAACCAAGGAACATCTATTATTAATCAAAAGCATTGGAATTAAACATATTATTGTATATATAAATAAGGTAAGACAGAGATATATGAAAAGTTTTCAACAGTAAAATGTGGCAGCTCTAATATTTAACTTATATCTATTATAGCAGTGAGAAGAGTGTAGTAAAATACAAAATTTATTAATACAAATATTAAGTGACCACAAAATAATAGCACAGTATTGAGACAGTATTTAATTGTTTATTTACTTTTTGTCAGTTTACTCAAATTATCTGAAAGTGAAGCTGCCTCCTCATTGCAATAGACTATATCTATAATGTATAAAAAAAAAAATTTATAGATTGATTTAGCAGACGATGAAATCGGTGATCTTGTGGAGATAGAAGTTAGAGAATTACTAAGTGAATATGGATACAATGGTACAATGACACCATTTATTCGTGGTTCAGCTTTGCTTGCTTTGAATGGAGATAAATCGAAAATCGGAGTTCCTTCTATACAATTGTTATTGGATACTTTAGATGATCATATCCCAACTGTAAAAAGAGATTACACATCTCCTTTTATGTTGCCTATCGATAATATTTTCACTGTACCAGGCAGAGGTACAGTTGTAATAGGAACATTGACAAAGGGTACTATAAAAAAAGGTATGGCAGCAGATTTATTGGGTTTTGATGAGAAGCAGAAGACTTCTATTTCGGATATTCAGGTATCAATTTAGATATATATTAATATGTACATTTAATCTATTTATGTAGTTATTAGCAAAACCAATTTTTTCATTAATTTTTAAATATTTTTTTAGATTTTTCAGAAAAGCGTGCCAGAAGCACGTGCTGGTGAGAACGTTGGTACCTTAATAAGAGGTATTAAATTAAATTCTGTACGCAGAGGAATGATATTATGTGCAAGTAATAGTTTAAATATATCTAATCATTTTGAAGCAAACTTTTACTTATTGTCTCCGCAAGAAGGTGGACGTCAGCACTCATTACCGGTATGCATTTTTAAATGCTATGCAATGTAAATATATTTTCGACCTGTGTAATTTGTATCTCATCTTTGTAGCGTAATGGATTTTGTACAACGATTTTCTGCTCAACATGGAACACATACTGTCGTTTTGACTTTTTATTACCAGGAGGAGTTGATATATTAATGCCAGGAGAAATCACAACTGCTAGATTGACATCAATGTTTTGTATGCCAGTAACAGAAGGTCAATTCTTTACCGTTCGTGAAAATAAACGAACAATTGGCGCAGGACAAGTCATGAAAGTGTTCAAGCAGATACAAGTAGATAAACGCAAGATGCATAAAGTCAAAGTCAATTTCGATGAGGAGTTGAAATCTATATAGTAACATTATTCTCTAGGAACCAACAAAAACGTTCAATTTGATAAATTGGAAGATCTTAAAAGTTGTATTTGTAACTGTATGAAAGAATTGCATATGTGGGTAGAAATATATTTTAGTGTACAAAGGAGCATAGTATCTTTATGTTAAGGAAAATAAACAACACAGATTTGAAAAAATTCTAGAACTTTATTACTCATCTCTCTCTGACACTCCTCCCGCTTCTGCTATGAATGAAATTTTCGTCCGGGAGAAGCAAACGTTGGCAATAACCAATTATGATACTTTATAACGATCAACATGTAATGAGTACAAGTATTTGTGTAAGACTATCGTGTTCAGCGTTCGATTGTGGAATTCTTTCTTCGTAATAATATTTATAATGTGCAAGTGGTATACATTAAAAACTAACATGATAATGAATATCATTTGCACATGGCTCTTGCATAGCAGAGAAATATTATTTATTTATACTGACAATTTATTGCGAGAACGATGCAAGGAAATCAGTCACGATTTTCTTCATTTTCGCGTCAGATGCTTCGCTAATGGTATTTTCCTTGGCAATGGTGTCTAAGAGGTCCCGTTGGGAAGATCTGAAATATTAGAATGTTAAATTAATGTTGCATTTAAATAAAGGTGAATATAAAACCTGCTTTTAAGTAGTTACCTGATGTGCGCAAGGAATTCTTTTTCAAAGGCAGTAATTTTTGTGGGTTCCATTTTGTCAAGGTATCCACGAACACCACAGTAGATAACAGCTACTTGTTCTTCGATAGCCATGGGTACTGAAAAAGTATTATAGTTTATATGCACGTTGTTATTCATTTTTATAATACTTCTTTTAACTTTATTACATAGCATAACTCTTCGAAAACCGTCCTTGGCCTTTAAAATGTAAAATACAGTAAATTCTCTAAAATTGTCCCTCAGCTTGTCCCCAGCCTCACGGCTCGAATAATCTGCTTTTCCCAAGTTATTCATTTTTGTTTCCAAGGTGGGGGACAATTTGGGAGAATTTATTGTATTATTTTTTAAAAATCTTACCATATTGTCCTTGTTTCAAAAGCTCTGTTAATCTAACACCACGGTTCAAAAGTTGTTGGGTCGCAGCATCCAAATCAGAACCGAATTGGGCGAAAGCTGCTACTTCACGGTACTGGGCCAATTCCAGTTTCATCGAACCAGCGACCTATGATGCAAAATTCAACCAATGATAAAGATATTTACACAATCCTTGTCGCATATGTAGCAAATTACCTGTTTCATGGCCTTAGTCTGGGCAGCAGATCCGACACGGGACACCGACAAACCTACGTTAATGGCGGGACGAATACCTTTGTAGAATAATTCAGTTTCCAAGAAGATCTGACCGTCAGTGATCGAAATGACATTCGTGGGAATGTAGGCGGACACATCACCAGCCTGGGTTTCAATGACGGGCAGGGCAGTTAATGAACCACCTCCCAGAGTCTCGTTCATTTTAGCCGCTCGTTCAAGAAGACGGGAATGGAGGTAGAATACATCACCAGGGTAGGCCTCACGACCTGGTGGTCGTCTCAACAGCAAAGACATTTGTCGGTAGGCTACAGCTTGCTTCGACAAGTCGTCGTAAATGATCAAAGCATGTTTGCCGTTATCTCTGCAGAATACAAAATTGTAGTAATGTATTTTATATTAAAAATTGTATTCTTAATCAGATATGTTTTTGTCTGTTCTTATAAAAGTTTCTGCAAAATAATAGTACCTAAAGAATTCTCCCATAGCACACCCAGAATAAGGAGCCAAATACTGCAAAGGAGCTGCATCGGAAGCAGTTGCAGAGACAATGATGGTGTAACTGATGGCTGCACTGTCTGTCAAACGTTTCACAATTTGAGCTACAGTAGATCTCTTCTGACCAATGGCAACATAGATACAGTACAATTTCTTCTTTTCATCTCCTGCATCGTTGAATCTTTTTTGATTAATAATAGTATCAATGGCAAGCGCGGTTTTTCCAGTCTGTCTGTCACCAATGATCAACTCACGCTGACCACGACCAATGGGTACCAGAGAATCTACAGCTTTGATTCCAGTTTGCATAGGTTCTCTTACAGACACCCTATAAAGAAATACATAATGAGATATATCTTGTAAAAAATATGCATTAAAGCTTATGTATTAAAAAATAAATACCTGGGGATGATACCGGGTGCTTTGGTACCAATACGGAATCTCAATTTGTTGTTAAGAGGTCCTTTACCATCGATAGGATTACCTAACGCGTCTACAACACGCCCCAATAATTCTTCACCGACTGGTACGTCCACAATGGCTCCAGTACGTTTGACTATGTCTCCTTCCTTAATGTGCCTGTCATTACCAAATACGACAACACCAACATTATCAGGTTCCAAGTTCAGAGCCATACCCTTTAACCCTGAACTAAATTCTACCATCTCATCTGCTTGAATATTTTTTAGCCCATAGACACGAGCAATACCATCACCAATGCTGAGTACCCTACCAGTTTCTTCAAGATTGGTCTATAATTTCATTAAATATAAATATCAAATTAATGAAATACATTCAGATAACATATACACTAACATGTCACTCAATATTACATAACACTTTCTAAAATCAATTAATAATGTATCTCTACATTGTTTAATGTGTTTTTAATCAGTAACATAATTTATTATCTTTTTATTACCTTTGGAGCTGAACCAAGTATACGTTCTTCCAGAATGGAAGAGATTTCTGCAGACCGGCGGCTGCAGGATACATGGTATTTGCATGAAGCAATGCTGACAGCAGGCCATTTTATCTATAAGATGGAATTTTAGTTTATTATTATATGGTTCAGATACAACACAATTCAATATACATATTACATAACTTATTATCCTTCAGTTTATGTAATAGACTATAAGCAAAAGTTGTTGGACGGAAGTAATGCATCGATTTTCATCAAATTTTGATAAAGATTGGTATTAGCTAATGAAAATAACGTTTGCTTTACTAAAAAAATTATTTGACGAAAGAGTACACGAGTTCGAACAGTTGTCCCAAGGTGGAAAATGTCGGCATGTTCGATAGAACAGTTCTTCCGTTAATGAATTGTTTAAAAAACGATTTTGATGAAAAATATTACCTGGATCGTAGCGTTTGGTAATTGTCTTGCTATCGAAGAAGCCAAACGTAGAGATAGTTGAGCCATTTTGGTATGTTGAAAGCCCGTCAATCGGACCACGAATTCAGAAACGAAGAACGGTCAAGTCAAGACAGGGGACGAGCAGAAGAACGTCCCGTTCAACCCCACTCTGACATCCACACCGGCAGGAAGTCGATATCCATCGACCTGCGCCGTAATCTCGAAACCAGATGCATGTATTAATTCATAACCCCCCCCCGATGTATTCTTCGCTTAATATTATATACACAAACTTCTATGGAATTTATATATAAAATAAACTGTTATGAAAGAATATACACGATTAACAAATATTTCATATACATACAAGTTTTAGCGCATTAGATTTTGGATACGAGGTTATGGATAGCACACACTCCCGATATAATCTATGAGCGCGAAATTTAGATTTAAACTGTATACATTATTGTATATATGAACGTATATACAACGATTATTCAACTGCTATTCAATAACGTACAACACAGAATTACGTTTGTATCAGATAATTATTCTTATATATATATATGTATATATATATATATAATATATGAATGTACAACTAATTACAAATTCTAATGCGAATGTCAATATGTCAATAGTTTCTAACTTGTATAAGAGTTGTGTTCGGTTGTTTTAAAATGACAATTGTAATACGCATCTCTTGATGTTATATATATACAATGTATGTACATTATGGTAAATATACA